TCTTTTTTTTTTTTTAATGCCTGTTTGGGCAGCAGGAAGAAAATGTCAGCCAGGTTGATAGTACATCGAAGTTTGTTCGAGATGTATGAATTAAAATTATGAAAAAAAAATGAAAAATTAATCGATAGGTTATAAGTATCGAGACGCAGTGCGCTTAGAAACTATGACGATAAATAAACGTAGTATTTCCGTACGCCTCCACAGCACCTGGGATGACCGTAGAAAGGCAAAGTTGCTGATGCGATTTGATTTTAGTTGACTTTACTGTATAGCAACTTGAATTCAGTAAATTAAGATGCTTTTATGTTTCTGTTTGTTTTATTTTACGGATATATATTTGCCTTTCTCTTTTTGTGATGCATTGAAGTAAGTTTTTATATCGCATCTATTATTTGTAATTCCAATCTATTCTAGTGTCACTCAAAAGTCTTTCAGACCCAAGGGGTGTAGATCAATGCGCTGTGCCAGTTAATTTGCGCGCATCAAATGCAATAATTAATACTATTGATGTTGCCAAGGCGTGGAACTAATTCAGGTAATTCATCTTGGCCCCTCACATTTTGGCCCCTCACATTTTGGCCCCTCACATTCTCTATGACCGGTATCGACATCACTTCTGAAGCGGAAACAGAGAATGGAACTCGGTGACATCCTCTTCCTTGCCACGTCCATGAACACCTTTTAAAAACGGCAATGTACGGCACGCCGAGGATGTCTTCAGTTAGTTTGTTCAACTCGGGAAGAGCAGCTGTAGTCATGCATTACGCCCGCACCGAGGAGTACAAAGTTAGTGGGAACAAAATCAAGCAATCAGTCAATGGATCAAACACAAATAAATGCATAAATGAATACATTAAATAAATGAATGAATGAATGCGGGCAGGTGGAGGGGGACGGGGGTAAAAGGTCCACAGGAGTCACGCAGGCACGTAGCCAGGGGGGGGGGGGGGGGGGGGGGGGGCATGGGGCCCGGGCCCCCCTCCGAAAGGCTTCCATTTTGCTGGGGCCTCCTCTCCCCTCTCCCCCTCATACAGCATTTTGTCATGGGCGCCCCCCGCCCCCCCCCCCCCCCCCCCCCCCTCCCCCGAAACCCCTCCGAAACAAAATCCTGCAGGCTACGTGACTGGAGTCAGATGTAACACTGCTCCGCAAGTGGGATGCGACACTCTTAGCGAACGTGCTAAGAGAGTCGTAGTTTGTTAATGCCGGCTGGATGACTTACAGAGTTGTACCGGGATCGAGAGCTACCAGAAAACTCAGTGAATCAAAATTGATGCGTGACAATCTTGGATGCTTCGTGCAGCAGGCGACTTTCGTCGTATATTCTTTTTTCATTCTACTGGTTAGGTGTTCACATCATTCGAAACACCTAAAACGATTCTCGCTTTTTTTTATTTTGTATTCCTGACTTATTTACGTTCTAAATGTGGTTGTCAAGGCAACGGGAGGACCGCGGACGGATCATCTGCCAACGTTTGCCGACCAAGGCAAACAAAGGAAGCTGCTGTTGAGTCCTGCGCGGCGCCTGATAAGAGAGCATATGACGCAACCGCACGATCGACCAGACATGGCCAGACTGCAGTTTCACTATCGCGGCAACTTTGAGAATGCGGATTTGGCCATTCGGTTCGATCGATGGGGAAACAAATGATTCGTGCTTGAATCATAGTGGTCTGTGGTTGAACGTATTCTTTTTTTATTTATGTATATAAATATATATATAGATATAGACGTGTGTGTGCGTCTGCGTCCATGTGCGCGTGCTTGTTTGTTTTGCCCTGCCAAGCAAAAAAAAAAAAATGGGAGGGGGGGAATTAGTCAAATCATCATATGTGCTTTTTGCCCACGCTCCCATCGCCTTCTAATATGTGTGCTTATAGACAAAATAGATATAAGTATGGGGCGAAAAAAATGCATAGTCCCGCTGGTCCAATATAAATTCAGTGGCTGGTCCTCTTTGCATGATGTACGGTGTTTAATTTAGCGCAGTAGTGGCACCAGATAATGATCAATAATGTTTGATAGTTTCATTCAAAGATTTTGGATTTAGGTTCCAACTCTTCGAATTTTACGGACGGTGATCGAAGTCTTACGTTTCAACGACGGAAGCGCTTTTCAAACGCATTATTGAAAGACTGGAGATTCATTTTGATAACATGGGGTTCGTTAATGTGCAATCGAAATCTTAATGGCACCTCGGGTCCACGTCTGGAATTTGAATCCGTTGACAAAAGGTTCCGGAAGCCATAAAACTTTTGTAGTCTTGTGCGAATGGTGGATTTTTAGTTCGAAGCGAATTCGAAGCGAATACTGGTTTTGGCCGAATATTTTAGATTCGAATATCGAATAGTTTTTCCACGCCATTCACTACTATTGCATAATGCTTAGACGACAACCCAGCTAAACCTGTGAAGGTTATTCCACTTGTTCATTTATGAGCTAAGTTTAATCTATCTATATTTATGAACTGTGACCTCAGAAGGTCTGATTTCTTGGGATGACAAGTAAATGACGGATTTGACATAAACTGAATCCTATAGAGATGGCCAACTATACCAAGTGAGTGAATTTACAAATCTTGCTATATAAAATATTCTTTCTTTAATCTCGAGTTAAAAAAGAATGAATTGTGCATGATGAACACATGTTGTGAAAGCATCTCTGCCTAACATATAACATAGTATACTCTTGCATAAAAGTTTAATATTGAAACTTTTACTACAATGTAGATATACACATTCACAAAGTTTCCATTTATTTTCAAATACAGTCTGCACGGGTGCACCATCCCGCTTTGAAGGCATGTTTTTCTTCCAAGCACGCAATTACGATATTGTCCATCGCGGCGGGTTACCCCGTTAAGTGCGCTTCTTACCGAGCACCGATGTAATGCAGATAAACAACACCCGGAGAGCTCACTTACATGAGTTTGGCTTCTCCGCAGCGCACCAGTGCTTGGTAAGAAGCGCACTCAACGGGGCTAAACCGCCGCATTCAACATTTCGATAAACGCGAATAGTGCAGTTCTTTTCGAAGCGAATATCGAATAGTGTACTATTCGGAACTACTATTCAAAATTTCGAATATTCTCACAACCCTACACTTTTGTTGAGCTACCAAGGCGGTAAGCTGACGATTTAGGATAAGCACACTCCTCAGAAAAGTCATTACACTTACTTTTGAAGTAATATTTTACTAATTTCAGCGTCTAGTAAGTCGTGGAATTAGCCCATAAAATTTTGACTGAAGAAATTGTAATTTTCGCAACTCCCCGTTATGCACTTAATCCCCCATTCCTCTGTTTCGCTGGCCAGGCCGCAGAAGTTTTCGTTGTGGATTCAACACGTGTGGACTCCTCGTTTCTGCGAGTCACATCCTCGCCGCTGGGAGGTATCGCCATTCTTGGAGGCACGACGCGCTGGAATCCGCACCTGCTGCCTGCGGGAGCACACTTCCGTGGAATAGGCCCTTTTGCTAAACCCCAACAAGCAACATTGGTTGCCGCCATTTCTTTGGCACAAAGCGTGTAATTGGATCCGACTGCTCACCGATTGCTGACGCAGCACTCGTTCTCGATCCGAACTGAGCCGAGTTCAGGCCAAACGCTGAACAATGGCGAACTCAGATAATTGACGCTGCAGCTACTATAGATCGTGCACACTTCTGAAAAAGGTTTATTTTGTCTGCATAAGCACTCGCGCGCCGCAGAAAGTTTTTACACATGCACGCGCTACGTCCCACAACATTGCACAGAACTCTCATAAGTTGTGCTCAGTTGTGTACGTGCTGCAGGGCCAGCTCCGAAAAGATACAAATTCAGTTTCATTAACCTGCGCGCGACCAAAACGCCTTTCCAAGGCACATACCGCACCAAAACGTGTTGCATTCAGACAACTTTCCTTAAACTCCTAGCCGTAATGGGCCCGCTTTTTTTCACTCACGCAGGTGACTGCCAAGTTGCCAAGACTCGTCAATTTTCCTTCCTGTACTTATGGACGTCCTGCCACGAGGCACGAGCTAGCGTAAAAATTACCCAGCATATGCGATTGTGCTTTGTGCGTAAAAAGTTTGATACAAACCATCCCTCACATGCATAATTAGTCTACCCCACCCCCAACAACCAGGAAATCTGTTCTGCCCCATATAACGTAACCAGGAAGCTTTTTTTTTTTTTTGTGTGTGTGCATGTGTTCAGGGGTTGGGGAGTTTAGCTATAGAGCTGTGCGAGATCAGGGGGTGAGGGGGGCGGGGGGGGGGGGGGCAAGTCATTTCTGAGAGTGGGGTTGACTTGACCCGGACTCCCCGCCTTGTTTCTGCCTATGCCACCGATATCATCTCTCGCAGCAGCATATTGTCCTCGAGCTTCGAGCAATTGGTTCCCAATGCTTTCCAATCCCATGACCCATCACTTGCAATGTTTGCACCGTTCGTGATCTATATAGGGAAAGTTGTCTAGGTTTCATGTAATCTCCCCGTCAGTTTCTGCCTCTTTCACAGTAGCTGATGTATATCTGTCCCGGCGGAGTCATCTTAAAATACAGAATAGAAGCACCAAAAACAGTATCTAAATAATCTACTCACGGCAATCAGCGCGAGCCTTCCATACATGCACATCTTCCTGGTAACGACGTCTCTGCTGCACAGGAAAGCTCCAAAGCCGCTGATGATCGCTAGCTTGCTGAACCAACGCAGCTTGTTCCTTGCGTGGTCCTCAGTCATGAAGGCTCGGGCAGCATTGCGGATCTCGAGGTCGCCGAGTCCGTCAGCGACGCAGCAGTCGTACATCGAAGCCAGTTCAGCATCAACCTCGGCCAGCGTTACGGTTCCTTTGTCCGTAGCCGTAGTCGCCATATATACGAGAGCCTGGGCGGTGTCTGCTTCTCTCAAAGCGACGATTCAATGGAAACTGGACACTTTAAAAAAGCTCTGGGCTCAAACAGTTCGCTGTGTCGTCTCCGTCCGACGCTACGAGTGAAACGCGCCGAGGAATCGGCGTTTGTTGGTGTACGCGAGAATGGGGAGAGAGGGCTAAAGAGGGATTAAGACGAGCGGATTAAGTGCAAGTAGAAAGGCAAACAAAAGAGGCGGACGGGAAATATTTTTGTCGGGAAAGCATTATGTTGAATGGATTGTTTTGTTGCTGTTAGTACATTTGCCAGCACGTGTGTACACACTGCGAAAAACAGTTAGCACGAACACGGCGTCATACTTCTCGGCGTTTTACTCGTAGAGGTGAACATGGAGCGACAAGCATACATGAATATTTTGTACTACGCTTTTCAACTACAGATGCAAACCACACACACATACACACACATACACAGAAAAGGTGAACGATCGAGTGTTGTACCCCATCTGACCTTAGCACGAACTAACCGCATTCAGCGCCTGCACCATCGGGGGCGTGTATTGCTTCTCTCGCTCCGCTATGCTCTCGCAGCTACCATGGGCCGCTAGCCTTCTCAGCAGACTTCCGGAGAGCGTTGGGGGACGGTGGAAGCGGTCTACGAAAACTCTCTAGGGCCTGAGCCTTCGATCTTAATCAAGTCGTTTTCGCCACCGCTATTGAAGCACGACCTGCGCCGAGGTAACACAATTTACCACCCACCGCGAGCACATCTCAGATAACAAGGCCGTAGCGATGAATTCTCTAGGTCACCCACAGAAGATCAACACGGGCAATGCTTGAAGTTAAGGGGTCTCGAGGGATCTCAGAACCCCCACGAATTTCGACGGGGGGTCTGAGACCCCTTTGGGGAGTAGATCCAACCGTCGCGCCCCTAGCGGCGAAGTTGAGAACTAAACCTATGGGTACAACATGAACTATTTGGGTGTGTTTGTGACGCACCGTTCGGCTGTGTCATCATTTAGATGCATCTGCATGTTATTAGTTTAAAGGCCAGCTGCTTGTCAAACTATGCCCCACTAACCCCCCCTCCCCCTTCCCCCCTTTCCCAGGTGACCGTAACAGAGACCCTCTGAACAAGGGGCACGGAAGCACAGATTGGGCGGGAGTGCTGAGTCAACGTTCCCCCCCCCCCCCCTTTTTTTTTTTTGTGATTAGTGGCCCAACACGAGCTGTTTGTCGGGCGATAATTGCGTTCCAAAAACGAAGGACGCAAAGAAAGCTAAAATAATTTCAAAAAGGGGGCTCGGCGGCGACCATCTATGAATTTTGCGCCCTGGGCGACCGCCCAGGTCACCCACCCCTAGTGCCAGCCCTGCCTGTTCTCAGAACTGGCTCTCGCCCGATCGCTAACGCGCAGCACTTCTGTCCATTCTGGCCTCCGGTTGGTGATGTAGAAGACGCACCACTACGGACCTTTAATCAGTGTTGGGATGTAATACTTTAAAGCGACACTGGCAGAGTGTTTATGCTCGTCAAGGTTTTTATTGGTACGTGACATATGAGAGCCCAACTACCCAGAACAGAACTTGCGGCTCGAAATTATTTTTCTTTCCGATCGAGAACTCGCCGATTTGAGTCGCGCTCACTCTCATATCCGTGGTCGCTTACCATTTTCTTTGGTTTAGAGACAACCACCAAAGATAATCAGTCATGGGTCATCGAAGGCACACACTCAGTACTAAAATTGGACAAAAAACATGATTGCTAATGGCTGCTTGATATAAATATCTTCTATTTGATCATTATTTACTTCAAATACATAAGTATCAATGGGAAGCAAATGGTAAACAAAACAAAAAGTTTTCAGTGTGGTTTCGGGGAAAAGTGTTTGATTTAATGCATCATAGCCAAATCTGTGTGACTTAAATTAAATATTTTTAATCAAGATTTAGCTTATCTTGGTTTTTATTATCCACTCTTTGTGGTGCACTTATATCAAAACATGTAACGGTATTCGTTTCTTTTTTTTTTTATGCTATGGCAAAACAAAGAAGTGTTTCCATTGGGAGTTACGGCTACAGATCAGAGGATTACCAAGAATTTAAGAACACAAACGTTTTGCAACTTCTGCATATATGAACAGTGAGCAGCTGGGGAAACCAGGCATAGCTTGAATTGCTCTCCCCAACTTGCAAGCCAGTCCGCCAGTGAAGAACATGGCACTAAAATAATTTTTGTTGATCAATAGTTTCCATTTATCTGGCAGAAGTCACCTAAAGAGAAATGCTAACCGTGTTTTTCTCGTCGCAATAAAAACCTACCTCTCACCGAACCCTCATCGTCTGCGTGTGCTTCTAGCTCGGGCCATTTTTTCATTGGAAATTTTGGGATGCTCATAACTCATATAACGCCCGGTTCTCATTCTTACCACCTTATCTGATTCTCTAAAGCTACATTCGGGTGGAGACCGAGCTAACTGAGCGATCGTTATAGTTTACTTTTGTTGTAGCGGCATATGCATGTGTAGTGTTTCAAGCTTGCCACTTGTGCCGTGTTGAACACAAAGAAACACATCGCCACTGCATGACACCTTCGAAGCATTTGAAACACTCTTTCGTTCAGTGTGACGGCTGTAGAGCTGATAAAATGGTGAATTGATGTGCTGTCGTAAAAACCTAACTAGACAGGGCTGCAAGCAAGTGCCGACGGCCCATCTTGCCAGCGCTACAGCTCGACGCTAGCCAGGCCACACAGCGGCATCAGCTTCTAAGGCGCGCTTCACGGAGGCTCCGCCGCATTTGCCACTAGTCCTGTGGCTAGTGGTGCAAAACTATCGATAGTACTATCGATAGTATCGATAGTCGCCGGAAATCTGACTATCGATAGTAAAAACAACTATCGATAGTACTATCGATAGTGGGCTATCGAAAAACTATCGATAGTACTGTCGACAGTTTACTATCGATAGTTTCGCGACTCTAGTAGTTTGCGCCGCTCCCTCTTCTCTTTTTGTTGCTTCATTTTTTTTTTTTTTTAATGGGACACCAACTATCCCAAGCACTTACCATCCCAACTTTAGTTCAGCTTTCAGTGATAACGAAGACGGGAGTTTGGGCGAAGAGAGAAGGAAGGGGAGGCGAGCGGCGAAACTACCGATAGCATCGGTAGTCGTCGGAAATCTGACTATCGATAGTAAAAAAAAAAAAACTATCGCACTATCGATAGCCGACTGTCAAAAAAACATCGATAGTATTGATAGTCGACTGTCGAAAAACTAACGATAGTACTATCGATAGTCTACTATATCGATAGTTCTGCGACACAATATATTGTTATGGAAAAACTACCGATAGTATCGAGAGTTTTGCATCACTACCTGTGGCATGTGACGTCAAGTCTGATGAGCACCTAAGTCACCGAAAAGTGGAGGAAGTGAGCAGGAAAAGCGTGATGCTTGCTCGGTGCTGTTTCAACAGACAAAGGACTACTGCACTGCCGGACACTTCAACTTCCACGATTTTTGATAGAGTCGTGTCGCCTCTCGATTTCTGAAGTTTGGCATGGCCTTTAGCTTTGACCTGTGCTTCGACGGCGCGTTCGAAATTTTGTAGTTTATTTGTATTTTGCTCGTGATCCCGCGTTCTGCATCAGGGGTTAAAATCTTGACACTTGGCGAAAAAGTCGCTGCACTTGACCCTGGCGCCGGCCAATCACAGTTGCCGGATTTCTCTTGAACTTCTTCACCAAGTGTCCAGATTAGGGACCCAGAGCAGGCACGCTTCTACAAGTGGAAGGAGCTTAGTCCAGCAATTATATTATAGAAGAGTACAGGTAGAGGCTACGAAAGGGAGGTTGGAGCAAAAAGAGACCCCCCCCCCCCCCCCCCCCCCCCCCCCCCCCCCCTTTAACACGCCCAACGCCAGCCGAATGCCTCTACCGTCCCGCCGTTCACATCTCAGCAGAACCCCGCTGAGATGTGACGTTACGGCCGAAACGTTGCCCAGATATATTTTCTCAGCCCTGTCCTCAAGTGGATCTGGAGTTAAAGGACGTTGACAAGGCTCGACCAGAGGAAAGTGGGCGACTCCCTCGCCGGAGCGAGGAGGAGGGGGATGATGTTTTTAGTTTTCTGCCCCGATCTCCAAAGGCAATCATCCATAGAGTTATCACCATATGCAATCATCTTCATGACCTGGTGATAGTTACAGGAATGCATTGGCTTGGAAACGGAAAATCAAGTTTTAGTTATTGGTTTAGGCTAGGTGGCGCAAGCTACCGTCTGTTATAAAGGGTACAGCTATTATTATTTATCCATCCATCTATTTTGTCTTGATAAGTTCAAATAGCCTGTAGCCGTAGCCAGCTGGACTTGCCGGATTACGAACTTCCGGAACTTTCGCACGTTTTTCCAGGTTTTCCTCGCTTTTCTAGGCTTACGTCTCACGTCGGAGATTAGCTGTGCGCTTCGCGATGTCTGTGAGCGTAATTGGCAATATTTCGCGGCTTTTGTCGCGCTCAGCAAAGTCGAACACCTTCGTGGCTGCGCTCAAGTCTGTTCGGAGCGACAGCTACTCTCTGAGATCTTTCTCGAGCCTCGTGTCTCGGTCGTCGGCATGCCGGCATGCCTTGAAGGCCTCCAGCGTGCTGCGAACGCCGACGGCGAGATGCAGCCAGGCTATCACCAAGGGTGAGCTCTGCGTTTGTGAATTGTTGCCCATCTTTCGTCGCGTGATGTACGCCCTTTCGTCAACGTTGATCTGCTTTGTCGGCAAAACGCGGTATCGTGTGGTTGTCCCAGGTCGGGAGCATGAATGTAGGTAGGCAAAACGAACTTCCCTGTGAACGCAAGAACACGATGCTCATCAAGGTCACAAGGTGCAGCATTTGGAACGGCCTCATTCCATTGTAACGAAGCTGCGGATTGTTTCCCGAAAGCCAATATTGGTGCATAGTTCGTCGCACCTTCACAACCAGTTCGTGGAGCGTAAAATGTGTCTGGCCTACACAATCGCTTGCAGCGATCCCAAGAGAAATTAGTCGCTTGAAACGCAGACATTTTAACAATTTTTGACGCTGAATTCGTGCTGTATTTTTTGTTTGTTCTGCCTTCAATAACGCTTGCATCGATTTAGGGGACCAGGAACTGGCTGAATTCCTTCAGGAGGAGATTGAAGCCGAAAAGAAAGCGAGGAAGACGCAGCAGCTCCCAAAGATAGAAGGGTTTGATGTGAAGCTGGATGGAGCTGAAGTCACACTCACCAGAAAATTCAACAACGAAACGTGAGTAGACAGTTTTAGTGTAGTGTTGCTGGCTCTTACGTGCATAGTATATGCAGTAGTGTAGCATACTCTAAAGACTACCCGGTCAGACCGATTTTAGTTGTGCATTCCGTAAACGTTGCCGAGTGAACGTCTCGCATGATCTTGATTCAATTTGCGAGGGCTGTAGAATTTGGCGTGCTAACAGTGCCACCGTGCGCTTCAAAGGAAAAATTGAAAATGAAAACTTTTCCAATAATTTTATTTAAAAATAAGCCAAGCCGCAGCTGCTTGTCAAGCACGCTTCGCTGCAGGGTACGGAGGCTACGAGACGAGTGCACAACCAAATTCGATCATGAAGCCTCCGTCAATCGCCCCGTGAAGCAGAACCTTTTATCAATGCTATCGTGGGAAGAAATCCAGTGCACTGCGACGGAAATTCTTAAAAGAGTTATTCATTCGTCGCCGATCAACTGTGTCAAGGGTCGGTGAGCAGATAGCGACGTTCACGCATATTGCAAGCGGTGAACATTTGCACTACGCTCTCCTTCAGCTGCACAGCGATCTGGCTCGGCTACGGGTAGGTCCCGGAAACTATTGCCAAGCTGAAAACCACATAATTCCTTGTAACACTGAACTTCGTCAACACCTTGTCGCCCATGCTATGCCAGTCCAGGTGATCGCCATCTTGAAACTACTGCTCTCACTGGGCCCGAGATCTCTCGATAGCTTCCTGCAAAGCCCACTAGCCCGCAGAGCAAAATCCCCAGCGTTGCGTGCAAACACAATATTGTCACGAACGAACAGCCAAGAAAACAAAGAACAACTGGAGGAAACTGAAATGTTTAATGGGGTGAACTTGTGCCCAAAAATAAAAAGGAAACTGAAGATAACAGGAGAGCGTTGCGGGCGTCGAAGTCTGCGTAACAGCAGAGTCGAACGCTGGGGCGAGACTGACTCAGGATCGCCATGCGATGCCCCTTATGTATACGCGTTGGTTTCTGGAACAGTTAGCCGCCTAAGAAGGTTCGGCGACGAGAACATTCGCACCTCGAACAAGCAACAGGATTCTCGAATTTACTAGAACACTAAATTGCAAGGATAAACAAAAAAACGCGTTACCAGGAATCGAACCCGGGCACTTCGCGTGGGAGGTAGGCAGCGCGGCTGTTGGGCCACGGCCGCACTGCCTACTGGACACGCGGCAGTATGCTAGCCCTTCAATTGCATTCTGCGCTTGCACACTCCCAACTTGCAATTTCTTTGTGTGTGTAAAGCTTCAGCATACGTTCCGCTAAAACAGTAATCTTTTCAATCCCACTTAAGTGCAGTTGTAAAGTCGTAATGAAGAAAGCATGCATTGGTGTATGACTTGCAGGGATTTACTTAGCAATTTTTCTGCCCCACAATCAGTATGTTAAAGGGGCACAGAAAGGAAAATCATAATATGCAGAAACCTTTCTGAAACGGGAAATATGACCTATGATATCTGTAAATGGCAATCATACATTCATATTTTGAGCGGGTGGCTATATTCTTCATTTCAAGCGTCCGATTCTGATGAGCGCTTCCAAATTGGCCATCGAGGCGTGCAATGTGTCATGGGAGCCCCATTGCAATCGTGACGTCAGGCTCCTCGGCACAGTCAAAGGCTGGCGTGATTATGAGTGCCACCACGCGGTGGCTTTTGCACGTTACAGTCTTGCATTTCGGATTGGTGGAGGACGGCACAGCTGCACGACCACCGTCGTGATATATCCATTTTGGCCCTTGTAGTCCGCGGTGTGTTTCACTATGAACTGAACAAATATTAGGATTTCGACTACCAAGGGGCTCTGAAGATGTTAGTGAGAATGAGTAGTCACTCTTGCTCATGGTGACGGACAGGCGATTCGGGCTGGAACCGTACAAACAATCTAACAGACCGCTTGTTCGCCCGACAAAATCTGAAGGGGGTTGGGGTCGCCAAGAAATGCCTTGCATTTAATAATGATTAGCCAACTTGGAGGTACACTCTATTAGATGTTTTATTAACAGTGTGCTTAATTACGAGTTTGCTTCGCTCTTCTGCTTTTCTTTTCTTAAAAAAAAAGTCTGCATAGCCCCTGGTAGCAATTGAAGGTTCTTGGTAGGAAGACCCAGACTTCTGCGGACAGTGGGTCACCTTTCATAGTCCTCGCCGCGAAAATGGTCACCGTACAGGTGATTGGCTTTTACGGCGCCCGAGAGACGACGGACGCGCGAGACGGATTCACACGTTTGGATTTCTCATAGTTCGGAAACCCATCGGTCAGCCTCTCGCAGTTCAGCACGCTGCTGCCGCAGCCCTCTGCCATGCAATAGCGTGGCATCCTGCATGCAAACTTGATGAATAAACAGAGAAACAACTCAACGGTGCCAACACAATTCTGCGCCGCACGAAGCAGTGCGAGTGCATGCATCATTGCGTTCACGTCTAGGGTATCTACAGGAATATGGTGTACTGCCGAGGGCGGCACCACTGCAGGAGAAGCAACACGTCACAATCTTCGAACAAAGCTTAGGCCCCCCAATGACCAGGTGCAAGTGGGAAATCATTTGATTTGTTTTAAAATTACTTCTATTGTGTTTACAAGCGAAAGACTGATGTTTCTCAGGTGCTGATGCGACATGGTATATACCTAGGTAAGCAATAAAATGAGCCCTAAATTTTGTTTCCGTACCCCTTTAAGCCTTGGAACCTCTCTGCTGGTCACACATTATTCATAGCAATGTTGCTCTTTGGGATCCCACGGGCCCTGAATGCAACCTCTTTTAGGAAAGGAATTTGAACCACTAGGTGAGCCTAACACCTCTTGAGGGAGTACCTTGACACAGTAGCCAAGCAAACTTCATTGCAAGATTAAAAAGGCAAAGGAATAGAAGCATGGGCAGGCACAGTAGTGGCATCTTAGGCATTCTGTGAACCTCTCAAAATCTGAGTTCATAAATTAAAAAAAAAAAAAAAGAATGTTTAACCTTTTTCTGAAAGGTAGTGTTCAAAGATTTCAGATTTCTTTATAGATAAATTTTGAAAAATTTGAAGACTGAATTTTTTTAGATTCAAGTTCGAAAAATCCGAAGATAAAAAAAATTTTCAGTGTACAAGGTTGAAACATTTCTAGGTTTTGAACTTTAGTTTGAAGTTTTTGAATCTTGCAGCAAGTGATAGACTCTTGCAGTTTCAAATTAAGTTTTCTAGAATTAAACTAGAAAAATTCCGAAATAAGCAGGAACTTTTTTGTTATAAAGACTTCTTTTTCCCCAGTGCTGTGGTACTTGGTACTACCAGTTACTTACTCATTATTTATCGTAATTTAAGAAACAAGGGCTGATGTTGAACTGATTGAGAGGTTCAATGAAAAGCCTTGAGACGGTCCAGTGGACTTTCCTTCTACTTGAGCACCCCCTAAATAAGATGCTGTCATGAAACAACAATATATACAAGACGATGCATGTGCATGAAGGCAACAGGTTTCCTGAAAAGTTTTACTTGCTCTGGCCATTTATTTCTGGTGGAATAGCACACGAGATGGGGAAGATACTGGGCACAGCGATACATTTACAGCACCAAGTTGAGGAGCACGCAGGTAAACTAAGTTCGCCCAAGGCCAGCTCAAATATTTTGGGTTGGCCAATTGAGGCTTCAATGCGATTTCCACTTCACTCGACACATTTCTCTCTTTTTGGTATTTATATTTGTTACCTAAATCTTGGAGGATGAAACTGGTTCAAACTTTGTGTAACTTTTGCTCTGAAGTTCGAAGTTCGTCAAGCTTTTGAACTTTGTAGGTTGGAAAGTCCGAAAATTGTCGAATTTCTTAATGCAACGAAATCACAAGTTTGAAAATAATTAAACTTTTTTGAGCAATAAGGTTGAGAGTTTGAAAACATGAGTTATGGTCCACATAGTTTACGCTTCTTGGATACAACCACTACCGATAAGTTTGTAGAAAGTGAACGTGGCCCGGTCACACTGTACGACCAGCAGCATCTATTCTCTGTTCTCCCCTAAGTGGACAATATGGTGGAAGCTACGCGCCCGCCAGACCGATCAACAACCTCCCCTTCATTAACCAACTTTGCTCTCTCTCGGTGTACCTGAGTGGGAGCATGATCACATGGCGAAAGAAGGACGTATGACTGGCCCAATAAGCCCATAAATTCCACCGCACTGTCAGCTTAGAGGTGAATGGACTATGTACAGTGAATGCTCTGTGGATCTTTGATAGATGCATTGAGCAAAAAAAGAACTTGCAGGTTTTGCTTCTTGTTTCCTTGTAAGCAGTGATAGAGTGCAAGTGAGGTGGTAATGAACCGACATCTTGTGCCATCTACTATCCTCATGGACATCACTTTCTCGCGTTCATGAGGTAGCAGGGGTGGCATAATGTACCATATTTTGTGTTTGTTTATATTTGCCGCAGTAGTACTTTAAACTGAGGCCCACATTCCGTTTTTCTTTGCTTGCCTCTTTTGTTCTCATAGGCTGGTTTGCTGCATCAGCTTGTGCTTATTCCAGGAGGTAAACTACGTCATATTCTGCTCATTGCAGAAGCCAGTTGTGTGCCTTCTTCGTGATGATGGTGTCAGTCGCTCGGATGGGTGCACATGGCGACAAATGCTTGCTGTTTTGAATTGACTAGATTGGTCTACATTAGCAGTAGCTCCAACATTGAGGAGCCAATCGGGGAGCAGACGGCACTGCAAATTTATCATTGATTCATTTCTGCAAGTGGGGCCATGCAACTGGAGGAAAATCTTTTTGCCTCGTCAATTCTTGGGGAGGTTAAAGTAAACCAAACTTTATTTGTATGATGTGAAACGTTTTGTTTACATATGTCTTAAATGTACAATGGTGGCCAGAGCTCTCTTGCTTCTTTTTCTTTTTCTTTGCTTGTTCCTTTACTTATTTTGTTTGGGATGAATAAATAAATGTGTCAATACACTAGAGAGATTCAATATGTCTACAAATGCATTGTAAAAAAAGGGAGCTCTTTTTTTTTTCTTTTTTTTTTATAATCATTTGTCAATTACCACATCATGAATGCCTCAGCCTCTTGGTGATGCAAGGTTTTCCCACCAGTGGGTATGAAAATAGTTCATGCTAATAACGCCGTTACCACCATATATTGGATGACATTTAGCGCTCTTGGTGTGCTTGTCTTCTTTTACTGATCCTCGTCTTCTGAGTGCTTTTAATCGTCACAATGTATGACCAACTAGCCCAAGTGAATACCCTTATTCTGTGCTAGGTTTTCCCTCCATGCACTTTGGTGCTGACAAGGCATGCTTCAAGTTCTGCAAATAATGTTTGCATTACTGCATAGTTCAACCTAGAGTCACAAAATTTTCTAGTACCAAATTCTACTCAGTCTGTTTACCAAAAGTCAATCCCACAAAATCCAGTTCTGGTTGGCTGGATTAGCCCGTGGCAGAAGTTATCAGTCAGCGATTTTAAGAATAAGTAAAGAAAAACAGCAACGTGTATAAAACGTTTTTGCATTACCACGGGTACGGTGGGTATGCATGAGTGGGAGCTCTGGGCATCGATGAGTTAAAACCAAACGCAAAGTGTGTTGAGTTTCTCTAGTTTTTTTTATATCAAGTAGCCGTTAATCTGGTTCGCCAAAGAAGATTGTCGGCTCGTTTGCTTGCTCCGGTTGCGCTGGTACAGAGTTTCAAACTCTATGCCTCAGTCGCTAAGCCTAAAACTCGACTTTGATGTGTTTTGAGGAAAGAGAAGAGACAGCAAGGAGCAAGTCATGCACCGCCTAAAACAAAGGAAAAAACTTTAATATTTATAAATAAAAAAAAAACAAAAAAAAACAGTGTCGCCACACATCAGTAAACTGGGTTGAAAAGTATGCACGTACAGTGGATGACACTGTACACGCTTTGCTTCGACCGCACAGGGTAGTGCCGTATTGAGGATGGGTTGGAGCGCCACTGGTGCGCCGCGACTCGGTTCTGAAAAGAAGCTTACGAGTTTCGGTACTCTGGAAACATTCGGTGGCTTGACCTCAACCTGGACGAGGAAGTAGAAACTTATCAAACACAAATGAGAGAGATCCTTTATGCGAGGGATGGACAAAGGTGACACTGTGTGTCGTCGGTGTTTTGCCCCAGATACATATCCCTTTTGTTGATTTCTAATAATTTCGCTAACACGCTCAGCTTTCCAACTGTCAGTCAGACATAGTAATTTTGTGCTGTCTCTTTTTTTTTCTTTTTTTCTTGTCTTTGTTTCTAACACTTTAAGACATTGACCAGCTGTCATTATATTTGGCTACTTTTAAAAAGGTCTGGGGGAAGATCGCCCTGAAAGGACCTTTTTGTTAGCGTGCTTTGTTGTATTGTACTGAAATTTTACAAAGATGCATTTGCAATTTGTTTTAGGGTCACTGTGCACTTGAATGTGAACCATTCTGTTGATGCTGAGGATGCTGATGAATTCAGCACAAGCCAGGAGAAAGCTCCGGAACCTGGAGAGGTGAGATGAATTGCTCTTTCCGTCTGTTTATTGCCATTTATATGGTATTGCTTGAAGATATAAATATCTATGAAGACAACAAGTGAGCATTTCAAAGCAAAGGCTTAGAAGGCATATAAATTATAGTTGCCACATTCTAGTCTGTCTCCTGCATTGTTTCTTGTTTAGTGTACCATATTAAAAAAAAATTTTGTCAGAGGTAAAATGGTAAGTATGGCCGCACATGATAGAAAGTACATCTCAGGGTTCTTTTAAATTGCTTCAGTTTGGCACAGACACTTCTTTTGCTGGGAGTAGCTACAGTAATTCAGATACAAAAGAAGGCATTTGAAAAGTCTAGTTGAGAATATGTGTAGAAGATGCACCGGGCGGCTTCAAGCTTAAGAGAGAGGACCCGATGGATGAAGGGCTGCAATTCTTAGACATCTGACTGTCATTGACCACCCCACCCCGGGCATCTGCTGGGCATACCAACAGTGATCAGTGAGGTCTGTGCTCTCCTTTTGCAGCTCTCATTGGTCAAAGTGGGGATAATAAAATCTCTCATCTCCTCAACCCATGCGAAATCGTGTTCCCACCATCTGGCCCAGAGCACACATACTCGTCTTGAACACCTGTGCAGGTCTGGTTACTCTGTAGACATGCTCTGCTCCGTCAGGCAGTGGCCTCTAGGAACCAGATCTCGCGACTCGGCGTGGGTCCTACCACATGGTAGGACGGTCGGAACCTCTTGCGTGCACAGTGTATCGCATCGCATTCAGTCGCTGGCAGCTCGATGCAGGACCAGGGTTGCATTTAGATGCAGCTTTAAGCTGCGATTCATGTGTAAGCTGGTAAGCGAAGGCAGTTCCCCGCCACAGTGTGCAAAAAAAAAACATGGCACACCATACGTCCCGTGCCTTACACAGAAGGTTTATTCAATCCCTCTACAGTATGGTGCCGAATACATCGTCCAAACGGGGCGGTGCATGAATGACCATTTTCGTGAGCATCAAAGAGAGTGTGCGTCGCCAGCTGAGGGCTCGCTTCTCCCGGTGGTGCTCCACACTAAAGATTGCAACACATGTGTTGTGAAATTTGAAAACGCAACTTTGATCGAAGGACACCAGGAACGATGTGGTAGGGTGGCGATTGAGGCATTCAAAATAACATCCGGCCATAACGTGGCGACACCTTCACTCACTTTATTGAGATTGGAGATTGACTTTCTAGAGCCAGAGATGATCTGATCGTGCTCACCCCCTAGTTAGTGGATTATAAACTTTTTGTATATATACGAATGGTTTGCCACGGAGCAACTGCAGCAGCTTGGTGTTTGGTGGGGGGGGGACGGGGGGCGGGGACGGGGACGGGGACGGACGGGACGGGACGGGGACGAGGACTCCGCGAGCCGCCACGGGATGGTCGCGCGGGGGCGTTAAGATGTGTTGGTGGGGGTGTCTGTGCGTGTGTGCACCAGGGGGGTGGGGGGCGTTCATGGAGATGAGGCAGTGGTCGCTGCAAGGGCCTGCGGAGGAACAGCAGGGTTGTTGGCAACAGAGAGGATGGTGATCTGGTTTTTGTCTGTCAGTCAGGTGCTCTCGACTTGCCGTCACTGTCATTGCGCATACGGACGGCCGCCCTGTCTTCTCCTTGTTTTCAGTTTTATGCCTCTTTCATCTACTTTCCCTTTTTTCCCTTCTCTCCCAACCTATATTCCTGTGGAGTTGTGCTGGCTTCGAATCAATGTTGTGGACTGAAAGCTTGTACATGTCTGTCTCCGTCCCCTGTTTATGTTTTGCTTTCTTCGTATTGAGTATTAAACCAACACGCTCTTCAAACTCGTCAAGGTGTGGAGCCTGCAGTAGTGGAACTGGGCATGTAGAAAATATCTAACTCTTTCTGCCCCAAAATATTTTGATTTAATTGCCGTTCAAGCAAACTTTACTCTAATTACCTCTCCTAAATTTGTGCCCTCCACACAGGCCATGCAAAATCATCTCATAGAAAACTGATTCCAGTTGCGCTAGTGCTAAGGTGATTGTAGATTACAAGCCGATCAGGCAGCCTTAGTGGATGCAAGACATGGGAATTCAGCTTTTTATATCTAGTGTATACTTTTTCTTCAATTGCTGTACTTAAGTGGTTGCGACAGAGTGGCAATAGACCAATCTCGTTGACCGTTCTATGTTTGATGCCGCCACAACTGTAGTTCATAAGAGGCAGGCACCAGTTCATGAGACAGCTTGTGCTGCCTCATGCTCTACTTGTGCAGAACCTTGGCAGGGATATTGCGCATGTAGAAAGGCTACATTTCCCATGATGCATGGCGGGAGCTGTGGCGTAATGAAACTGGATGCGAGATTGGTCTATTCTTTGTGATTTTTAAAAATATTCATTATTAGAGCAAACATGAGTCTTGAATATTAGGAAGAGGTATGAATTGCCACTTTTATTTTTATCAAATTGAACATAAAATTACTCAGTTTACACTAAAACGTTGGAATATTCACTCCCCCCAAACCAAAACTAAAAAAAAAAAAGTTTCATGGTTCTAGATTTTCTATTGTACTGTGGGGCTGCACCAAACTTTGTATTTCGTAAGCATTTTTCTAATGGCTTCATCCTTCGACGTATACCACGCATTTGTGCAGATGAAGTCCAAGCCCAACTTCAATGTGGAGATTGAGCAGAATGGCAAGAAGCTGTTCTTCAGTTGCACCTTCAACGAGGGTCCCGGAGCCGAGGAGCAGTCGCAGGACACTTACAGTGAGCAGCCCCTTCCCTCTTCCCTTTAGAGGGACCATGAAACAAAGGCTAGCAACAGGAAACCAAATCACCCTTCTCTCTTGTGTGCAGTTGTCTCATCTTAGTCTGCCATGTGATGTTGCAGAGTGCCAAGGCGGCTATGGCATTTTTTTCTGCTTTGCTGCCTCTTAGGTTTTCTGGCCATGAGTGTCGAACCTTTCTGTCACCTAGAGATACTTCCTTCCTTGCTTGTTTCATTAACGGGCGAGGCCGTCTGGTTAGGTACAAAAATGTGAAGTTTGGGATACAAGGAATGTGAGCCTCACGAATGCACCTTTTCGCATGTGAACAAAAACTGGTTTGTGTTCTATGCTTTAGGAATGGGGAGTGTTCCCTCTGAGCATACTAGTCAGCCACAAAGTGAAAAGATTTATTCATGGGTGAATGCAGATAGGTCATGTGACATCATTTTCACCACTGAATTTAGTGGGAAATACCCAAATAGATCGACAAAATCTTGGGATTGGGGGTTCCGTTAAAAAGCGTGTCATACTTTAAAATTGATTCACGGCCTATTTAAGATGATGGCCACTCTTTTATTTCTTATTTTTTAAGTTTTTGAACCAGGTGGGGAGTGGGAAACAGGACATACACTAATCTGGATGCATTTTACAGATGACAACTTTGGTGTCACGGAGTTTTCAATCTACGAAGGAGAGTTGACGGACGCTGTCTACACAGTCTCTGGTGATATTATGGATGGGGTGAGTGATGAACCCTTTGGCATCGTTGACACAGGATGAAAACTAAGGAGGATGCAACGTCTGCAGGCCACCTTAACCGTATGGCTACTGCATATGAATGGAAATTTTACTTTTGAGGTTGCGGTGCAATTGCTTGGCTACTCTTTGCATAAAGTTGCTCGTAGTGCTACAAAGGCACTATAAGGATGGATTAAATAATTGTGGCATTGTTGAGCACAGGTATGATGAGATTCTTTGATGTGCAGTTTAATTGTATGAGGAAAACATGGGCTTTGATGACAGCTACTTTCATTGAAATGTTGGGGGGGCAGTGCATGCCTTACGTTTTTGCTGTTCAGTTAAGCTCATCTGTAAAAAAAACCAGTGAGGTTAACTTCTACAAATATATGAGGGCCTCTTAATGCCAGTAGTCTCTGTGACAGCCTTGTAAGTCACAGACAATTTCAAAAGCGTTCCACACATTAGCTCGTGGTACAAATGAGTCTGGTTGTATCAACGCTTGAAGCAGAAATGTTGCAGTTAGATATTGCTAGTAGCTCATTGTTAGGCCCAATGATCGTTACTTCTTTGTTACCCTCTACTTTAGATGGTTTGGTTTGGTGTAGTGATCAGTTTGAAAGATCTTGCCTCACTAATTTGTATGCCTCTTTTGTTCTCATGAGCTGGTTTGTTGTATCAGCTTGTGCTTATTCCAGGAGGTAAAAAATGTCATTCTGCCTCATGCAGAAGCCAGTTGTGTGGTTCCTCTGAGGCGACATTGCTAGTCACCCACAAGGATGCACATGGCAACATATGTGTGCTATTTGACACTGACCCCTAGGTTGTCACATCAATGAACAAAAAGGGTGCCTGCTGTGTAGAAATTGTACATGCCAGAAGAAGCAATGAAAGCAATCTCAAGTACATCAGGAAATTTGCCTTCCTCCTTTCAACAGGCAGTGAAGCAGCAACAATGAATTTCTATGGAAAGTGCATGTGCTATCAAACTTTGCATATGCATTTTATCAGAGTTTTTGAAGCAAGCTGCTGATGGAGGTTGAACCCTCAGTTGCTTTGATTGTGCTGCATCCTAGTTAAAGCATATGCTACAGAGACTGCAGGATCTTACGTGGCTGGCAGGCAACTGAGCACTACGTCACATGGCAATGAACAGTGTGCACAAGAAAGCGCACAGTCTGTTGCTCAGCTTACTCACGAAATAGTCGAGTTCGACATGTCTGAGAAAAGAGAAAGCTTTCATAAAGTAGTTTTCAATGTTGTGACAATTTTTTACAATATCACGATGAGGTCAGATTGGTCGCATTGTGATTTAGTACTTGCCTAGCATATTATCCACCAAATATGAGAAACAGTTACTAGGCGAAGATGAAGGTGAAGCAATATGGTGTACAAAAGAGATAAATGAATACTGTTGAATAAAGTTGTAAGAGCAGAGCAGCATTTCAAATGGTAATAGAGGGATTATAGAAGGCCACTGTTATGTTCCATATGCAAGAGAAATGAACAGTCAACGGCCTGAAACCATTAAGGTGAAATACATTCGTGGCACTTGAATAGGGAAACGGGTGCTTCCAGCTGTTTCCACGTCTTAATTCCTCATCCCGTTGAGTCGCATGTGTGAGACCCCTTCACTGGACAAATCATTTTATAGCTCCTCCTAATTCCATCACGTAAGCTACTGTACATTGCTCGCGGTGTGAGAATAGGCAACCCCCAGCCAGGGGGTGCCCACCCAGAATGGGCCCCGAAATGCAGGGCAGGCACATGTACTACTCTCTTAAAGTGCTTGTGGCATACTTTGGGTGTAGGTTTTAATGTTATTCTTGAATATGCTAAATAAGCTAGTAGGTGAGGTCTTGGCAGAGGTTAGAAAGTGCAAAATTGTGGTTCATCGGTACGGTTCTGTGTTTTCCTCTTTCATTTCTCATGAAATTCGGAGTTTTTCGGAGCTTAATTTTTCGCTGAAAATTCGGATTTTATTTAGATCAATCCCGATTCTTTTTAATTTAGAGTTTTAATTTTGCTGTGTGCCCAATATTTTGAAATTCAATATAAAAACAAATATTGTCCGGTCACAAACCTGCCCTAAATTCATAAGAACTAACCTGTATTGAATGTTATTTCTTCAGCTGAACTGGGCATTTGTGCCCGTGCCATTGATAATACTGACTGTTTCACAACAAAACTTACAAACAAGTGTTGCTTTAATATATGTCAATACTTTAAAATCACTTTAATCCTTGACGTTGTCTCTTGGGAGCTCGTTTTCTTTCTATTCCATTCCACCTCTCCGCCCTGCAGCTGCATGGGATGGAGTGGTGACATGGGACTATGAGCTGCCTCCCTCCCTGCAATGATCATAGTTTATACTGTTATAAAAACACAAACCCACCCTTGTTTACGAACCCCAAACTGAAAACTAGAACAGTAACTTTTTTAACGACGCAAAATTACACTGACCCGTTGTTCTGCAAACAATCTTGATGAGGTAAACGGTGCACTCCCTTTTGTCAATAGTCAGACATTTGAAAGGAAGCTGGGGAGGCCTCTCCTAAGGACCACTGATGCTGTGCTCTGACCAAGCTTGTTTCTAAAACACCTTGTTTATAAAGCACCATGGATAAATTTGAATTTACGAAAATACCGTAAAGTTCCGAAAGAACGCCCACCCGAAATGAGGAGATAGATGGTGAAAAACATGGGGTGGGCTATCTTTGGGGAAGCCACAGCAAAGCTTTATCAAAAATTAATTATAAACACCAGGCACCCGCTACAAATCACATGACGTGGGAACTGATACTCCAGATTGCAGATACCGCAAATTCGCTTTTCATGGTGCGATAAACGCGCGGGAATTCGCTACGTACTCCTGCGTCACGGGAAAGGGTGCTGCAGGTTGCAGATGCAGCAGGTTTGCGTTTTACCATGCGAAGGACCCGCTTAAACCCGCCAAGAATTCACATGTCACAGGAACGGATACCGCAGATCGCGGACGCAGCAGATTTAAGTTTTATGGTGCAATAAACATTCGGGAACGTGCTACGAACTTCACTGTCACGGGAACTGATATAGCACATGGAGATAGCGGACAAAAAAAAGCAGAATCTGCTACAAACTCGCATGTCACGGAAACGAATATCACGGAGGCAGCACTATCATGTTTCACGATGTAATATACACTGGGGACCAACTCTCGTGTTACGGGAATTTATATTACGTGCGGAAGTTGCACGCAAAAACACGGTAATCCGCTACAAACTCATGTCATGGGAAGGGATACTGCAGATTGCAGACGTAGCAGATTCGCAATTCACAATGCAGTATACACGCGGGAACGACTCTCATGTTACAGGAGGCATTATTGCGCGCCCAGATAGCGGACAAAAACTCAGTATTATCAGATGTACCGACAGCAGATCGTGTGGCGAATGCGATTCCCGTCGGACTTTGCATGACGTCTGACGGGAATCGGGGTGGGCGATGTTTCGGAATTTTTATGTTACAGATATTTAGCCAGAAAAACGGGATGGGCAATCTTTTGGGGGCAGGCGTTCTCTCGGAATTTTACGGTATTACTATCGAGTTCTTTTCTTCGGATTGGTTGAATTTATTCGAAAACACTTAATCCTATTTATAAGATACAACTAAAGCAAAGGCATACCATTCTGCCAATAGCAAGTGACAGTCTTTAAGCAACCTCACCCTGTAGAGCCATGTAAAACATTTTGACCACTCTTGATCATCACACCAGCCTTGGCTGATTCAGAAAGTTGCAAAGAGTAAAATTAAATGACTGAACATGGAAACACAGATGGTCAGTAGGGGCAGTTTGCTCCAAGTTTTAGAGCAGAGATTGTCTGCCAGCTCCATTGTTGGCAGTACTGTTTTATTTTTTTTTGGTAGGACGTATTATTGGTTGCAAAACAAAATCTACTATTGTTTATCCTCTACAGTACCTTTACGACCTGCTGATGAATATGCTGGAAGAGCGTGGGATCTCCGGAGAATTTGCAGACAGCCTGGTGACCTTCTGCACTTCGTACGAACACAGCCTGTACATTGGCCTGCTGGAACAACTGAAGGGCTACGTTTCCCAGAAGTAGGAAGGAGGCAGCTCCCATCCAGAATTGATGCTGGGGACAGTTTTCCCCATCGCCCCCCCGTGTAGATATGCCGTTGCCCCTGGCTGAGTTCCATGTTCCATTGTTAGCCCTTTCATAGCCTTACTTTCTGTTTTTGATACAGTGTATTGGTGGAGAAATGCTTTGTAAGGAAGCATTAAATAAACCTTGCTGGATGAGGATGTTCTGTGGATGATGTGCTTGTCATATCTCAAGCATATTCTTCTTTCGTGTTTATGTGCATGAAGAGCATGCCCGAAATCAATTTTAACATATATCTGGTATTTGCTTCTTTGTGTGCATTTTTTTGGGGGCCCCCTTTTAAGTACATTCTCTGAATTGGCACCAGAAGGGAACCTCTCTTTGGGCTTCCCTGTTATACCATATGTAGACTTTATTATGGGTTCATCATACGCCACTAGGTGTTTTTATTACCATTGGGTGACACATTTGCTCCATAGATGTTTTGCGACATTTGTGATGTCGCGAAAAATTAGGTCCTGACGAAAGTCTATTACAACAATCGACTGCACATGAACAGTCTAGATCATTGAGTCAGTCCGCTAAACAGCCAAGCATTTTGAAGAACTGGAGATGCGTGCTGCCAAGATCAGTGAAGCAAAAGATTGGTCTAGTATTAGTTTTACATTCACGTTCTATTAGAAAAATTGCTTTACTTGTTCAATTAAGGGGGGACATGGGTGTTTGGAGCAAAAAAAATCCCCAAACTGTTTTTTGGAAAATGGTGATGTTGAAATCTACAGCTATTTTTCTTTTGATCTGCCAAGTTTCTTATTTTGAAGATTAATATTTGCGTCATAATGTCACTTCATAATATCTATGTGGCCTGAAATCGCACTGAAGCTGATACTAAACCAACGCTTTCTCAAAACAAATTTTGGCCTCCTAACAAATTTTTAGGAGGGATGTCAGCATCTAGGGCAGACAGGGATATTACTTTTCAGCAACGTGTGGCTAAATGTGCAAAGCATGCAATGTTGGAAGCAGATTTTTTAATATAGGTGTAGGAAACTTTTTTAACTTGTTTTATTGCATGGTTGCCGCATATTGAGGACTTAACTTCAGTGTGTTTTAGAGTCTCTAATAATCATTCAATCAAAAAGGGCTTCCAACATTGCATTCTTCACAATTTGTAGTATCTGACCATATGTTAATACATTCTTTAAAAAAGTTTTTTCACTATTGTTTCTGGAAACAGTTTGGCTAATTTTAATCTTGAGAACTAACCTACTAATTAAAAAAAAAATATTTAAATGGCACAAAAGTTTGAAGAAGCATGTGCTGTTTCATCGGGTTGGGCTTGACCAAAAAAATAAGGAAGAAAGCACCAAGTCCAAAGTTCACTGAAAAGAAAAAAAAATTTTTTTTTTTAACAGTTTGGTTGGGATACGCGTGACAAATAAACTTTACACGAAAGAAAATTCTTTTTTTTAGAGCAATATTGATTGCGCAAGACGCGATTTAGTCAGCAGTCACCTCCTTTCCACTTGTTTTGGTGGATCGGCTTGTCCATCACGTTGAGGTGGAGAGAGAGTATGACCATCTTGTTGAGGTAGAAAGAGTTTGACCATTCCGGTGAAGTCATGGACTTTGCGCGCAGAATAAAAATAAATCTTGCACCGTCCGTATTGCTCTAAAATTTATTTTTCGCTTGAAATTTGATTTTTAACACACATGCCCCAACCAAACTGTTTAAACAAATTTTTTTTTTTTCAGTGGCCTTAAAAGGCATTTTATTTTTGCATAGCTGGTGATGCCAGGTAAGCTTTTTTGAATGCTAGGTGAGCCAACTGTTTGCTGCCATCTACCTTGTTGTGTCTGCTTGGGTCACTTGCCATCAGAACGTTGTGTTAAAGCAAGGGGGTTTAATATTGCATATTGCGAACAGCATGTGGGCAAGCCTAACGTAAGGAGGGACGCAGCGGTAGAAAATTGCTTCCCCTTATACATCTGTTTACTTTTGCAAAAAAGAAATATTTTGCTTAAGGGGCACTTCCACTTCATTTTTCCTTTTTAAAAAACGGTGCAGTCCTCTGCAGTATCGCCTAGGAAGACCACACACAAAATATTGCGACGTAGTCCTGTCTAAACGTTTCTTAAACGGTCCGGCAAACTTTGCAACTCACTAATGTGGCGATGCAGGCGAGTTGGTTATGCATGTTGAAAGTAGTGAAAGCGCACAATAAAGACGAATACGAAGACGGAGAGGCAAACAGGACGAGCGCTGACTATCAACTGAATTTTTTATTGGAAAAAATAGAAACAGCATGCTGTTTCTATTTTTTCCAATAAAAAATTCAGTTGATAGCGCTGTTTCTATTTTTTCCAATAAAAAATTCAGTTGATAGTCAGCGCTCGTCCTGTTTGCCTCTCCGTCTTCGTATTCGTCTTTATTGTGCGCTTTCACTACTTTCAACCTGCAACTCACCAAGTTGCCAAAATCGGCTGACTCAAGCGGGCAAATTAATGCGCCACCAATGGCGCAGTCAGTGCTACGGTGTGGGCGTAGACAGCATTGAGCCAAAACTGCATCGCCGTTGCCTTTTTTTGCTCGTTTTTACTTCTCTGGGTAAGCTTAACGGGTGACGGCAACGTTTCTTCTCAGCGTGCCTGCGCAGCGCGCTTCTTGGGAGCCGTCCGGCCGCTTGTCGTTACCGCAGTCTCCAGCGTCCCAACCGCCGTTGTCGTCGTCTTACCATTTGGGATTATTGTCTTGGAGTTCTGTCCACACTACAGGCGCAAACTTATCCTGCAGTTATTCAGACGTCGTCAAATGTTGTAAACACCGAAACACGGTGAAGAGTGCGGTGCAGGAGACACTTGCACCTGGCATACACCTGCCCCAATCTTGCCCGTCATTGTGTAGAGGATCACGTGACATCTCGTACCACGTGATAGCCATGTTCTTGGCTGCCTGAGGTAAATGTTGCCGGACGGAGCCGAAGTTCCAATTTCTGCCGTGTTTCAAATTAAATTAAAAAATATATATCCCATTTTTTGCGAAGCAAATGACACGGTGTCTTTTACTATAGTCAGCGACAGGTTAAGAAACGTTTTCTGGCTGGGGAGGAGGAGCAGACAAAATGCTGAAGAGAGGAGGATGCTTCCTCCTCCCCTGCCCCCTTTACCTCGAAAACTTTTCTCAACTGGTAACCGACTACAGGGCTCTTTAATGCGAAATCACTCATTATCCCGAAATCTTGGGAATTGAGTAGAGTTGCCCAAGACCTCAAAATTTCAGAAGACAGGTCCTGAAAAACAGCCTACAAGTAAAACATTGCAGAACAGCAAGAACCATAGCTCGCACAATTTATTACTCGCAGAGCTCTTACAATCAAAATTTAAATTGAACACATTCCCAAGGGGTTGGCTGCTTGTCCCCTACCATTGTCAACAATACAATTTAGTGGCATGTCGGACAATATTAGAGCTTCCATCAATCGGACCAGACAATAAATAATACAAACCTAGAAAAACATTGGAGAACTTGCGTTAAAAATGGCTTGGAAACATGGTGTTTTAGGGTACAGTATTAAGACTGGAGGCCAAGAAAAGAGATGTTTGAATCGCTGATCCCTACTACTGGCACCTCCAGCAAAATCGATGCGGCGTAGCGGCAATGTTGAGAAGCTCAGGAGAGGAGGTCATTTCAACTCTGTTGTCTAATAACACTGCTTGGTTCTCGTAGGCAGCATAGAAACAAACATTGTTTTCAGTAATTATTTTTATGCTTTCGCAGCGTCATTTCTACACACTGGCTAGAAGGCTCCTACCGTCGCAAAATCGCTTTGCTTTCATATGCAACACCGATTTTACGTTGCAGTGCAAGAAACTTATGGTGGTCCGCGTGCTGGACAACAAAAAGGGCCTTCATTTGTTTGGCATTTTGCCTAACCAGCGCACCCCCTATAGTTCGCTAGAGTCGTGAATAGGAGGCTGAATGGCACTTGGCCGTGCTCCGACCCGAACGCAAGGGAGGCCACTGGAAGTCCATGCTTCTTCCGGAAGCCTAGTGTCTGCTGGGCTTTGTAGCGTACTTAGTTAATGCTTTGGTTCATGCCTTTTTCCATTTTTACTTGGGTTTTAATAATCCCTTTTAACATTCAACCTTGAGAATGAGGCACTTGAATGTGGGGCATGCGCGCATAACAAGAATCTTGAAATTCTCGCACATTAATGGCTTCTCAAAAGACTTTTCGGGCATGCACAGCTGTTATTGTGCAACAAGCAGGCTCCCTCGAGATAACAAAAGCAAACCAAGCACCTTGGACACTGTTTGTACCAATGTTCAGAAGAGTTGAAAAGCAGCCTGTCAAGGCTTTTCAACTCTTCCAACTTTTCAACTCCTCAGTCAACTTAGTATGCATTTGCTCAATGTGCCACCCAGCCCTCTAGTGATTGATGGTTTGAATATATGAAATTTTTGTCAATCTGAATAACATTACTGAACTTAAATTTAGTTAAAAAGATTTAATATGTGTATTCGGCCTGTTACAAGAAAGTTCAGTTATATTGAGTATGCTTGCACCATGGTACAAGAGTAGTGGTGCCAAATGCAAATGCATTTAATCAAATTCATTCAAATGCAACTGTGAATGGGCCATAAGAACTCTCGGAAGTAAATTGAGAAACATCTGTACAAACCTTGGAAAAACTCCAAAACATTGGAAATTAAAAAATAAAAGAAACATCTCTTGGAAACTGCAGTTCACTTGGGACTACTTATGAAATTTGGAAGTGACGTTCAACGACTTCTCTGAAATTCCTGCGAGCAGTTTCTGATCTTCATTCAGGAAAGTCGAATTTCAAAAACTACTCAATTGAGTTTCTAGATCTTTTACTTTCTTTTGAAGTTTTCTTATGGTACCCTGTGCAACGCGGTACGCGGCTTCAAGTTCTACCTGTCTTCTTTGTGCATCACCCAGCTTCCTCTTCAGCTCTGCCACTTCAACGTTCGCTGAACTCTGGTCAGGAATTTGGTAGGGAAGCACTACTAGTGTTGTGTAGGATGCCATAGTGGTCTCAGAGGGGCCGCGGTCATTGCCTCTGGAGCTGCAGTTTTGCAAATCCAAACTTGTATGCTTTGAGTTGAAGCATGTTGTGTCTTGGGTATTTAATGTGCGCATCCCGTTCTTGATGACTGGGAGGGCTGGGGTGATCGACACCTTGCGTCGTCGTGGGGTGCCTGTAGAAGACAAAAGTATGACGCAAGGTGTTATGTTTTCATGCTCCGAAGTGGTACTGGCACAAACTGTTCAGCACTTCAAAGGACGAGACCCCCTTCACTATTTCGTGACCTTGTAACGGAACCAGGTAGATTTTGTGGGTTAGAAAATGGGAAAGGAAAAATTGCCTATAATTAGGCACATGAACATATATAAAAGTGAGTTTTTCCCTCTCCGTTTCTCTTCAACCCACAGTATGCTATGGCACTTATGAATGCAAGATGGCTTCACAAGGCTAGTTGTCTGTTTGAAGGAGCAATACTGAAAAAAAAAAAGCGCATCCTCCAAGAAACAAGGAACGTCTTCAGTTTTAGTGTGGTGGACCTACTTACACTGGAAGTTGACTATTGGGACTGCATTCGGTTTGAGCTTCTGCCAGCCGTCTTGCCTGTGTTGCTCAAAGGCGCTTTCCTCAAAATGTTTCTGCAGCAAAACATAGTCGTGGATATTCACAGATCAAAGCTCGGTGCTCTATCTGCGTTTACAAGCTTATAAAGAAACAGAGCACATTCCTTCATGCGTTTTCATGTCTAGGGTGTAACTATCTAGAGCAAAAATGTGTGGTAAAGACTTACACGTCCTAAACTACCATGCTGGATTACACAGCATCATCTGGGGGCCACACGACTCGAGCATCAAGATGGAGACACATGCATTCGGTTATACAGAATTATCAAGCAGACGCACTGCACATGGATGTGCCACCACTTGGTTTGAGAAATATAACCACAATTCTTTACGGAAAATTTTTTTATTAGGTAGGCACAGATATCATGTTTGAAAACTGCTCCTGCAGGTCTCGTCACCTTTCGTGGGTTTTGGTGTAGGTTCTGCTGTAGACTAAATAATTTGTGAAAATTCACTGCACAGCGCATGCAGTCAAGTCCATGACAGCGATCAAGCCTTAAAGGGGCCCTGCAATCCTATTTAAGCGTCTACCTTTTTTGCGGTTTCCACGTCTCTTGGGGTTCGGGCAGGCCAGCGGGCACGGAGAGAGTAACTAAATATGTGTGCGTCATAATTTAACCGGACGACGCGGAAACCTCGATGGATGGATGAATCCGGCTGAGCCCTTTGGATCGAGCGGTAGCTTACGCCACCTAGCCATTTTGTTTTACCTTAAAATATTTAAATGTGAAATCTATATTCACTCCGCACTGCAAAGAAAGTGAGGCTATAAAAACCCCCTTGCCATCAGTTAATAAGGAAATACCTAGTTTTCTCTCGCTTTCTGCCACCATTCACTTAATCTTTGCTTGGTAAAATCTACAGTCTTGAAATCCACTCTCCCTTTGCTGTCTCTAAAACCCAATGACTTTATTAAATCTATGTTGTCTTCGGTAGGCATAGGGTGAAGCCCTCTACAGTAGAGTATCAAGTGCTCAGCCGTCTCGTCCTCCTCTCCACAAGCAGTGCACACTGTATCCATTTCCTGGTACTTCGCTCTGTGTGTTCTGGTTCGCAGAACACCCATCCTTGCCTCAAACAACAATGAGTTTCCCCTAGAATTGTCATAAATGCTTTCTTTGGCAATAACTGCTTTGTTTAATCTATAGCTTTCCAGAGCCATCTTTGTCTGCATTCCCTCTAGCCACCGATCTCCTTCTGTGGCCTTAACTTTCTTCTTAACTGAGACTTGCTGTTCCGTATCTTCGCTATAGCCCAAAAACTTTCCTCTTAATTTTCCAGTGCGCTGTCTCCACTTTGTGTCTACACTCCTCATGTATAAATAGCTGAAAACCTTTCGTGCCCATTGCTCCCCATCCATTTGCCTCAACTGATCCTCAAATTCTATCTTGCTCACCGCTTCCCTGCTCTCAAATGACGCCCATCCCAAGTCTCCTTGTACTCCCTGGTTTGGCGTTTTGCAATGTGCCCCCAAAGCCAGCCTACCTACTCCGAGCTGTTTTATTTCTAGTCTTGCATGTACTTCGGATTTCATGCATAGCACTGCGTTTCCAAAAATCAAGCCAGGCACCATGACCCCCTTTCCAAATCTCTCTCACCACCTCATACCTGTTGTAATTCCAAAGTGCTCTATTTTTCACTAGAGCTGCATTTCTGTTGCCCTTACCTATTATATACTTTTCATGCTCACTGAGATATTCTGCACTATCACATATCCATACTCCTAGATACTTGTATTTACTAGCTCTCTCAACTGTAATCTTCTGTATCCTTCAGCCTCTCAACTTCATCATCATTAAAAATCATGACTGCTGATTTTTCACTACTGAATTCTAAACCTAATCCCTCTCCTTCCATACCACAGATGCTCATTAATTCCTGCAACTCTGTCCTGTTGTTAGCCATTAGTACGATATCATCCGCATACATCAATCCCGGTAAGGATTGCTGAATTTTTTGGCCTAGCTTCCTGTATGAAAGGTCGAATCCAAGCCCACTCTTCTCTAGTCTATCCTCCAACCCTCTCAGACACAACATAAACAGCGAAGGCGATAACGGGCACCCCTGCCTAAGGCCTCGTCTTATCTCTATTTTCCCTGTCGCCTTTCCTTCCCATGTTATAATCACATTATTATCTTTGTAAATGTTCCTTAATAGTGCTGTTAGTCCTTCATCTAGGTTTAAGCTCTCCATTATGTCTCACAGGTTCCTTTGGTTCACATTGTCATAGGCACCCTTGATATCCAGAAATGCCAGCCAGAGCTGTCTGTTTTCTTTTTGCGCTATTTCTATACAGTGTTAGAGAAAATAAATTGTCCACCAACCTTCTTTGTTTCCGAAACCCGTTCTGTATTTCGCCCAGTATGCCCTCGCAATCTACCCATTCCTCCAGTCTGTTCTTTATTATCTGCATTACCAGCCTTTAAATAACAGGTGTCACGGTTATGGGACAATAATTTCTAATATCAGACTTATCTTCCTTTCCCTTATATATCATACTCATCGTACTAAGCCTCCATTCATCTGGAATATTTCCTTTTGTTATCATAGTGCTCACTACCTCCCTTAGTTTTGCCTTAGATTTAGGACCCAAATTCTTCACCAGCTTGATTGGGATACCATCTGTGCCTGTCGACATGCCACTAGGGACTCTTCGTTCCGCCTTTTCCCCATTCTCTTTGTCCAAAATCCGCGATGTCACAAGCTGGCCTGCTACTTCCTTCGGCTCTCCTATCTTCCACATGTACCCGTTCCCGAAATTTCTCCTCCATCACTGCTCCTATAAATTGTATCGCATCATCTCCCTCTAATTGATCTCTCTGATGCGAGAGTATGAACCTCTGTCTAGCTTGCGTCGTTTCACCGAGTGAGTTCAAGTGCTCCCAAAACTTCTTGGCAGCGTTTCTATCTTTCTTACTTGCATTACTCATCCATTCCTCACCCTTTCTCTGAATTTTCGCATTGATCAAACTGGATGCCTCTCGGCGACATGTTATAAAATTGTCCCATTTTCTTTTTCCTTCCGTTTCGGACTCCCCACTACGCTTGGAATACCTGTGTTCTCTAGAGGCTTCCTGACGTTTTTGTATCGCTTGCTTCACATCTTTGTCCCACCAGCTTTTTGGTCTATGTCCTTGCTTCCCCTTTCGTTTACTCTGAACTTTGTCTGGTTCCAGAGCAAACAGCCTAGTTAGGCTCTCATAGGTCCAATCTGTATACCGTTGCCCTGAAACTGCTGCCTCTATTCTTTCAACAACTATTTCCAACTCTTTGTCGCTGCAGAAAGTTTGCTTTGAATTATGTTGTCTAGTTTCAGCATTTACTTCTCTGGCAAAATTCAGCTTAATACGTTTGTGATCACTACCAAGACTTTTGGAACCTTCATCTATTTTCAGTACTTGTAACTTACCATATATTTTGTGTGACATGAGTATGTAATCTATAGTTGAATGTAGATTGCCAACTTCCCAAGTTATGTGCCCATCACACTTCTGACAGGTATTACATAAAACTAAGTCATGTTTTTCCACCAGCTCTAGTAATATGCTTCCAGTTGAGTCTGTATACCCATCCAGACCCTCAATATGGGCCATTCATGTCTCCCATAATAATTATTTCGGAGCCTTCCCCTAGTTCACTAATGTCTCTTGATATGCAATCAATCATTTTTCTGTTTTCCTCCTTAGCACCTGTCCCTTGTCCATAAGTAAACAACTCCAAGGACTGTTGATTCCCCAACGACTTTTCCTTTCAGCCACAAATGTTCGGCGCACTCCATTCTGATCCTTTGAAAGTTCATATTCTTCTTAATAAATGCTCCAATTCCACCTCCCTTCCTCGTTCCCTCCATTCTGTTGCATTCTTCCCACACATAGTCAGGGTTGCAAGGTGACTGCTCCATGTCTCCGAGACGTGTTTCCACAAACCTATACACCATTAAATCCTCTTTTCTTAGTTGCTCCTCTACCTCTTCCCATTTTAACCTATTTCTACCACCCTGCATGTTAATATATCCAATGTCTGATTGTGCTGTTTGTTTATACCTGTTCTTACGTTTTCTCTTTTTAACCCTGGGTACCTCTCCTGACTTTGTTGGGTTTTCAGTTACTTCAGTGCCCCCAGTGCCCTGGGTCCCCCCAAAAAAGCAGTCACCGTGCGGCCCATCCTATCCCCCACCCTGCAACCCGTGGCCTCACTGTAGTGAATGCCATCTGCGGCCCATCCTATCCCCCACCCTGTAACCCGTAGGTGGAGGAGGTGGCATTCACTGTAGTGAATGCCACCTCCTCCACCTACGAAGGCAACCCGTGGTGCCGAAAGTGTGCGATATGAGATGTCTTTGGACCTGGGCTTACTACTGGTCAGAACTGCTAAAAGCTTTTTAGTCGAATACAAAATATAGGTGGCGCGAGCCGTTTCAATTATTTATAAAAGTAGTTTTTGTTCAGTATTCTAGATCAGAAAAGAAACAAATGCAATTTAGAAAGTACGGAAACAAGAAATGACCCGTCGACATACCCGCCACCAAGCGGTGGAAAAGGCGGCGTATGCTAGAAAGGTGTCGTGGGATCAGGCGAAGACGGGCGGTGAGCGTAGAAAGGTCCCGGATGTACGCGGCGATGCTGCAGACGAGGATCCGACCGATTCCGAGCGTTCCGAAGGCCTTCGGAGAGCAGCTTTCGCTTGCGATTTGTCCTTCTGGCACTATGGCAGCGCGAAGTGGCTCCCATTCTGAACTGATCTTTACCCCGTATTTGCTGTCTTTTGTGGCCAATGAACTGTCATGCCAAATTAGTGCTTAATTGCGCAGCAAATGCAATGCGAGCCGCCTTGGCTGCCCTCTTCATACAGCCTCGCCAGAAAATGCATTAGTGGCGCCCTCTAGAGCCGTCGACACGGAGTGGGGCAGCCGTGACCGCTCGTTGAGCCCCCTACCCCTCCTCTATTCACGGCCACTCAAGCAACCAAGGACGTCACGAAGGAGGTTATTTTTTGCTTGCTTTTGTAATTTTAATTTGCCTGTAACTTTTAAACTAAAGCAAAATTCGAGAAAAGAAAAGTTTCATTAAGTTACTACGTTCAGTGCGCTCAGGTTCGGTGCAAATTAAAAACCAGTAAAAAAGTCCTTGCAGGGCCCCTTCAACAGCTACCAAGCAAACCAACAGAAGCAGCGTTTGTGATGTCTAACCATTCTGCACCATGAATAACCTCAAACATGAAAAAAAGACCACTGTGCGACAGTGCCCGTGGTGTTAGGGATTTATGCGTGGGTCTAAGGTCGGGGCTCATTCACAAGAATCTTAGAAACCACGTCATAAATGAAGCCAGCCAAGGAGCCCAAACCGAAACCTTTCTCCCAGCTCGTCGCCTAAGAGCACAGCCACTACTCACGATGCACACGAGGGAGCACGCCGGTTCCCAGTTGCCCCTGTTCACGTATGCCAGCCACAGTTTTCTTCTGGACGGGTCAGCCGGAAAACGGAACAAGCGGGCTCCTTTATTCGAATGGTTGTTGCACCCGGGAACGCAGCATCCAGGCATCTTCAGTGATCTCGAGGCTGCCTGCAGTACTGGCTCGCTGGTGCTTAACAACCCGGTAAAAGGGTGGAATGTAATTTTTCTTCATAGGTCAATTATTTCCAAGAGTCTGAAGTGTTCCATCTTATGACGTTGAACGAAATAAACGGGTGCGACGCTGTAGTAGAGTGGTACAGTAGGATCCCCGGTGGTACTCGAGACGAAAAGCCCCAAAAAATCAAGGCCAAATATGAATCATGAATCGGATATGGATTGGATTGGAAGAGGCAATATAGTTACGAGTTACTACAGGATATAATTTTTACTGTCATTTTCCAATGTAAAAATGAAAAAAAAAAATAGCTGTTACACTTATGTGACGACTAATTAATTAAAATAATAATCGGATGTTTTGGCGGCCTCCTATACTAATTATCTTGAACTATCTGGCAACCAGAATCAGTTTCAAATCGAAGCATGGCGCTACTTTGTGTGTGGTAGTTTGTGGGGGACCTTAGCGACCCTAACGCATAGTTTTTGGGATCAAAATGTGTCTTCCGTGGTTAATATTCTTCACGTTTAGAGTGATCTCAACCGTTTTTTCGTTTTCCTGGTTGCTGGTGTTACCAGTATGTGCTATCGTGTTCGGAATCTCCGCCTTCTCGTCCTTGTCTCTCGCCTTATCATCAGCTCTGCTCGTTTCACAGCTGATTCCGACAGTCATCGTAAGCACGTCGCCTAACCATTCTCTCATTTTTGGGCACCGCTAATCAAGTGACGTGTTGAATTTCAGCGCCGAGGGAGCGTTCGTTGAGACGCCTGGGGACATTTCCGTTTGCACCGCTTTGAGAACGGAAGCGTCCGTGTATTCGTGTATGATCAAATCTCCGTTCTGCCATTACGCTCACACCACACGGGGATTATGTACGTTTCGTGAGCTTTCGAACCATTGCCTGACAGGAAGGTAAAACAGCTTGCGCAGAGTTCTGCCGAACTTGTACCCTGCGCAGCGCGTGCATGTTCGTCTGCTCCTTGCGTCCCTCGTGCGTTTGTTTACCCCGAAGTGCGCGCACGTTCTTTCGTTTCCTCCCGACCTCAACCAATGACGGTGCGCGCTTGGCTGCCTCGTCATCGCGTGTTCCCTGCGCCTTTGAGCCAGTGACAAATGTGCCTTGTGCGCGTACACGATTGGCCCTCTCCTTCCCCCTCAACCCCCAGTTATACCCTTGTTATACGGGCGCACTTAACTGCAGTTAAGCTAAGCCATAGGTAGCGCACAATACTCGCGGACAGCATTCTGCGGCTATGCAGTCAAAGCCATGGGCGAACGTGCGCTTGAGCATCTTAAGCACCCATCCAAGCAGTGCACGCGCTCTTCACTTTTTCTTAAATAGCTCTCCGAGAGTATAGTGCGGTAACTGTGGTGCCACGTAACAGCAGTTAAAGCTGAGTTAACCACGGTTAAGGGTGCCCGTGTAACAGGGGTATTACAACGCCTACACACACACAGTGGTGTAGGCAAGTTGGTGGGCCGCAACTACGATGACTGTAGAACAGTGAGCCACCACACTTGTATTCCTGTAAATGAAGCCTGCTCCGCTTTGAGAAATAGTATTGCAGCTTTACCAGTTTTATCTTAACAGCGCCTTGCTAATCTTTGCATGAGCGTCCATACCGCCGAGCTCACCCTGCTTCGCCGTTGGGTGGGGGGGGGGATTCATACCATTGGATCCCCCCCCGAAAAAAAATCCTGGCTACGCCACTGCACACGCAGCCTGTGTCTTCTCTGTGTTGCCGTTTCATTGGCGTTCTCCTTTTGCATTCCGATTAGGGATGCCGCGAACTTTTTTCGAATCGAAGTTTCGATGATCGAATCAAGCGGTTCGAAAGGTTCGAAAGATTTCGATTTTTCGAATTGTCTATATCGTAAAATTCGACGGAGGTCGAATTTTCGAACTTGTTAGGCTAAGAAGTTCGACGCTTTTCGAACCGTCGAACTTATTACGCTAAAAAATTCGATCTTTTTCGAACTTTCGAACTTATTGCGCTGCAAGGTTCGATGCTTGTCGAACTTTCGAACTTGACTGACCAAAAAATTCGATGAATTTCGAACTTTCGAACTTATTTATCAAGAGAATTCGAAAAGTTTCGAACTTTCGAATTCTGAAAAGTCAGAAGTTCGACGAACTTCGAACTTTTAGGGTAAAAGTTCGACGTTCGTCGAACTTCGAAAGACCGGCGGACGGTTTCATTTGATTTGAAGTAGTGGGGTACATTCGTAATTTTTTTTTCTCGAACTTTTACACGCGGTGCTGCGTTCCTTACGAAAAACGATGTCGTTTATTTCAATGTTCTGGCATGCTTAGGTTTAAAGAAATAAATCCCCGAAGGGGCGAGGAAGGACGACGGGTTTTTGACGATTATCGTTTGTGCCAGATTTGAAGCACGCTGCAGCCGGAGCTATTTATGGTAGATATGTTACACTTTTTTTAAGAATGATCTATGTATAGCCTAGGTAAGTGCCGTCTTAAGATGTGATTATTGTTATTCAACGCGAGTTTCGAAGAAATGTCAAACATGTATCTGCATGCAATTATGACCTAAACTTGATATTTATTTTCGTCTAAGTTGTTTGAGGTATCGCATTTAAATTAACACCACAGACAGTACATATCATTGCTATCTGCACAATACAAAATAATATATTTATTGTTTTTTCACGTTAAGGAATAAATTAACTCATGGGAGAAGATTTCTAATAGTGTTCAAGTTCAGCACGTCATTAAAAGAAAGCTTTTTTTTTTCACTTCACGTTCCTGGGACGTGTTTCTTTTAGCCTGTACGCATTTTGGTAAAAGAAACTTGTTTCGAAGTTCTGAACCTCTGAATATGCAAGAATAGAACACTTCCGACGAATTCTTGATAGTTTTTTTTTCCTCCTGCTTTTTATTTCCGCATTTATTCTTTTTTTTTTCTTACTATCGGCACAGGTATTTAGGTCGAAAAGACAGCTTTGAACTTCCGAACCACTGAGCATGTGACGAGTAGTGCCTTCTGACAACGAGTTTCTAACAATGACCATCTACGCAACCTTTTATGCAGTGAAGAGCGACAGTAGCTATACATATGCATAAATAATTTCAGATTAAAATAAGCTCGACCACGCCGTCTTTCCCCGTATTGTTTTCTTTAACAGTCCGAAATACCTGCAAGGGGGAGAAAGAGGCTGAAGCCCCCCTTCCCCCCGCTACCCTCTTTCCCCCCGTTTTTTTTTCTTCCGACGCCAATTGTATGGTAGAACGCTCCTCGACCTCGAGTTGTGTCGGCTTTTGTGCTTTTTGCGAGGCAATTCCCCCGTCCCAGAAAATAAACCTCCTGGACAATTACAAACTTCACCGGATCGGATTACTACCAGCGTGCAAGGGGTGGCGAGGTAGTTTGCCAGGTCGCTTCAAGGTTTTTCTGAGCCTCAACCTCCTGCTCACCCCTGGCCGTTTCGAACTGGATGAGTCTCGTAAAACAGTGTGTTCGTGTGATCACTACTGCGTGATGCAGGTTAAAGACCCCCCCCCCCCCCCCCCCCCCCCCCCCCCGGGGCTGGCGGTCACAATTCTGCACTGGCAAATATTCTAGCACGTCCGGGACACTCGTCGTCTCATTCAATTGCCTGAGCAACTTCGCAGAATCTAGATATCACACCCTAACTTTTCTAAACTTGATTTTGTGAAAACCAGTGAGTCGTGAAAACGTTATTTGAAACTGAAACTGTGGAAAAACTTGAAAATAAGACTTTGAACTTTGAAAACTTGGATTAAAAAGAAATTCAAAATCTTCAAAGTTTTTTTTTTTTTTTTTTTTATTTAGCGTTAAAAGAGAATCGAACCTTCGAACTTTATGCAGAAAGAAATTCGAAATCTTCGAATTGTTCGAACTTCATGTCTATAAAAATTCGAAGTGTTCGAAGTTTTCGAATTTTTTTCCAAAGAATTTCGAATTCGAAATTTACGAAACCTTGAAAGCTTCGAAATTTTCGAATTCGAAACTCCGCTGTGGTCAAAAGTTGCGAATTTTTTGAATTCGAACCTCGGTCGGTACGAAAATATAGAAATTTTTCGAAATCGAACCTCAGTTCACTTCGCAAATATCGAAACCTTTCGAAATCGAACCTAGGGTGGTTCGCGACATCCCTAATTCCGATGCACCAAAGACACATTCTGGAACACTTTCTCGCCTTATTGGGGAGGAGATCGAGGAGTTGTGATTCCTAGCGGCCACCTCGGGAACTAATGCTGTGTGGCAAACAAACCCTTTGACCGCAGTAAGTAGTCCATTCGCTGACATAAAAGACGACAATGCAAGGCTCGTGGAGGATATGTAGCACTTCTTTTCTCCTAAACGCATCTAGATAAAAGTAATCTAGCCCCTCTTTCATTCAATGTCATCGAAGTCCACTTGGAAGGCAAAACAAGCACGTGTGTGGTAGTTTCGGATTCAGATGGGGGGTCCGGATATCCTGAACACCCTTTTCAATTTTCTATATGTAAAAATTTATGGCAGGGAAACGGGGCGGCGGGGGTTCTTGGACATATGACACTCTAACCCCCCCCCTTTCTCAAACATACCTGTGTTCACGTGTGCGTGCCGGGCCAGCCGCGTTGTGTCGGCTGCGCGCCCTGGATTGCGCGTGGCCCTGCGCAGTGTCCATGTTTTTACTAAATTATCCACAAAACATGAATATCACTTTTCAGTTCCCTATCTCTTGCGACAGTCATGGATGACATCAGCGAAAGCAAGCTGTGCCTTGCTGAAGGAGGGAATGTGCTCAACTGCAATCGTCATCGAGTGCAGCGTTCTAGACAGTGGACAGTGTTTGCATCGTCGCATACGTGCTGGAGTCCTCCGCACTGCATATACCCGGTTCAAAAGCATGCTTCAAACACTGCGATATGCAACAAGTGCGCACCATATCGCTACAATCAAATATGCAGTGAATGCAGAGACTATGTGGCGTACGCTAGGCGAGTACTGGCGTCATAGTTGTTTGCCACACAGCGATTGTTTGTGATGATGATGATGATAATGAAGCTGCTTCCTCATAGTTTGGTCTCATCGCCAGTAACCCCTGGGCAATAAAGTTTGGTTCGACAGATGGCGCCATCTTATGCGGTATTTTTGCCGCTCTGAGATGGTCTGTGACCATAATCATTGGACTCGAGCTCGAATGTCCGAGTGCCTTGCCGAACTCTGACGCAGAGCTTGCATCCAATTGTTCGGTGGTTAGGCCTTCCCAAAATTGACCATTC